CGCTGCGGGGGGCGCGGTGAGCGCGCCGCGGGGCTTCGGGAGCAGGGTTACGTCGGGCCTGTCCCTCTACAGGAGGAGTAGTCAAAACAATATTTTTTGACCACTTTTGGATTTTTTTGATTTTTATAAAACTGTTCGTCGAAATTGCTCGCGGGCGTGAGCCGTCCCACAGAGTGGTGCGGCCAAGCGATCCTCGGGTGTTCGCAGCGCCCCACGGGGACGTGGACGCTCAGCAGAATGATGCCCGATTTGTCGTTGTCGTCGTCGTCGTCGTCGTCGTCGTCGTCGTCGCTGCTGTCGTTGCCGCCGGTGCTCAGTCAGCGACCCAGACTGAGAAACTCGGCCACGCGCAGAGGGGGTGAAGGGGGGGGGAAGCCTTCTTAGAGGCACCCCTGCTTCAAGGCGCGGGCCTTGTCTGTAAATGTATGGCTCGCGCCTTCTAAGAAGCAGCCTCCTTCCAACAAGCCTTCCCCCCTTCCCCTACCCCCTTGTGCGCGCCGCCAAGAAACGATCATGTTTGTCGTCCCTGCCCATGGTGTTGTTTCAGCGCTTGGGCGAGTGGTGTGCGCCACGCTTCGGGCGAATGCCTGCATACCGTGTGAGCGCACATATGTGCAAAAGTCCAGGCGCTGGGCGCACGCGGCCAGGGCGCACGCGACCGCCGCGCTCCGCTCCGGGGCCAGGAAAAAGAGGCAGTGGTCTCGCGATCGCCTCCTCCTCCTCCTCTTCCTCCTCCTCCTCATCCTCATCCTCCTCCTCCTCCTCATCAGCATCATCACCATCAGCAGCATCATCATCAGCATCATCATCATCATCATCATCATCATCATCATCATCATCATCATCATCATCATCATCATCATCATCATCGTCATCGTCATCGTCATCGTCATCGTCATCGTCATCGTCATCATCATCATCATCAGCAGCAGCATCATCATCATCATCATCGTCATCATCATCCTCGTCCTCATCCTCATTCTCATCCTCATCATCATCCTCATCCTCATTCTCATCCTCCTCCTCCTCCTCCTCATCCCCCTCCTCCTCCTCCTCCTCCTCCTCCTCTTCCTCACGACCCCCCTTTTTGGTCGTGGACAACCATCACGAGCGGAGGCCTCCGACAATCTTTTCGGCCTCCTCTCGGGGCTCTACCCAGCCCCGCAGGGCCGTTCAACGGCGACTCGGGGCGACAAGCTGGTCCCAGGGAGGATTTGTCAAACCTCCAGGGGTCCGCGTTGTCCAAAGTCACGCCGTCGGAGTGCTGGGCCCTGTCGGCGGCGATGAGATGGGGGCTCCGAGAGAGGGGGCCCTGACTGTGGAGGCGAGGGGCCCTCCTACCAACCAGCCTCCACCCAGGATCCCCTCTGATCCCCAGGGTCCCATCCCTCGGGGGGTCCCTCCTCTGGATCGCCGATCCTCCTCCGCCTCCATCCTTCTCTACAATTACTCTTTGTGAGTATTACTCTCCTCTCTCCCCTGGTGACGTCCCGCGTGCTGGTTTTTGTTAGCACAAATGTAATAAGCATATTAGTATTTAGAGAAATATTCTTTAATCGAAATAACAGATAATATGAGGACTACTACTACTATTCTTCTTCTTCTTTTTCTTCTTCTTCTTCTTCTTTCTCCTCCTCATTGCTAAACATATTATTTTCAAAATGCTGCTCTCGCTGAACGCTGGCCTCATTTTCGGGCTACTACCGCTCGTTCCGAATCGTGCTCCCGCTGCAGCGATGGCCTCATTTCCGCTTTTCAGCTCGTTCCGAATCGTGCTCCCGCTTCAGCGCTGGCGTCATTTTTTCCAGCGCCATGCCACGGCATGGTTTTCGATCCTTCCAACTCGGCCCCACAATCTGGAAAATTGCCTCCCGAAAAAAGCATCGATCACCCAGAAACTAGAGCAACATATGGGGAACCCCGGGATTTGTGCACGTCCGCCTGTGTGCCCCTGGGCCCCTGCATTCCTTTTCTGGAGACAGAAGTGGCCAGAGACGTGGGCCTCCTTCCCTCGTCCGGGGGCCTCGCGGCGTCTCGTGGGTCCGCACGACAGGGTGCTCCACGAGGGGCAGCACGGCCCCTTCCCGGCCACTCGCCCGGGCCTGCCCGGCCAGTGCGTCGGCATGGCTGAGGAGGGTATCTGGCGTGGGCGGCCAAGTGGTCGTTTTTCATGCGTTGTTTTGCCGATTGGCGCGGGCCCTCGCACCCCCCCGTCCGCGGAGTGGATCTCGGCTGTTTTTGGCGCCTGTTTCGAGCAGGTGGGGTCTCCGCCATGGGAAGCGCGGCTGTACACAATCGCGCCGAGCAGAGGTTCGGAGCCAGACCCCCCCCTCCTCCCCCCTTCGCGCAATGTCGAAACGCAGAGTAAGGAAACGCTCACCAATAGGGAGGTGATGACTATGGGGGGGGATCTCCTGGCGGGGGCAATGATGTCTCTCCAGATTTCACGGCGCCCCTTCTTATTTCAATGCGTTCCGCGCGCCGCGCACGTGCCGCCAGCCATGATTTGCTCGCCCCCCCCCCTCCCCAGACCCCCGACGTCGTGATTTTTTCCCAGCGTCGACCCCCAGAGGTCTGGACCTCTTCCCATGGACCGACCGGTTTTTCACTCCGAGCCGTTTCCTGACGGCCCAGCCACGGGGCCCGGCAAGAGCCCCCCTTGGGCCGAACATAGCGACAAACCTCCCATGGCCATTTTTCGCAACTCGCGAGGGGGTCTGGGCCTTCTTGGACGCACCCCTCTTGGTCGCCCCCGAGTATCTGGCGGGCGGAGCGTCAGGGCCGAGCCTTCCAGTCTTCTGGTCCACCCCACGCACACACGGTGAGCAGGGTTAGCAGGGCGGTATTGCCACCACGACGACGACGACGACGACGACGACGACGACGACGACGACGACGACGACGACGACGACGACGACGACGACGACGACGACGACGACGACGACGACGACGCTTCTAGTCTTCTGGTCCGCCCCGCTCTCGCCGAGCACCGGCCCGACGCCTCTCTGCGCCGCCGTAGCCCAACCGTCCGCCCGGAGGCGCCCAGCTCCTCGGCGCGGCCCCCGCCGCGCGCGGGCTGGGCGTCGCGCAATGAAGGGGGGGGGCGATATCAAAAGGCGTGCGCGGCGAGGCCTGCAGAAAGCGAGCCGCGAGCCCTTGACGGTCCCTGAAGAGGCCCCACCGGGCTTTGAGGGCCCGAGAGGTGTACCTTTGTTGCCTCCCCCATTTCTCGCCGCCCGTCGCCGCCGCCGCCGCCGCCGCCGTCGCCGCCGCCGCCGCCGCCGCCGCCGCCGCCGCCGCCGCCGCCGACCGCCGTCGTCGTCGTCGTCGTCGTCGTCGTCGTCGTCGTCGTCGTCGTCCGTCGTCGTCGTCGTCGTCGTCGTCGCCGCGTGACCAATTCGTCTGCCTGGAGGCGCCGGCTCCGGGCGCGGCCCCCGCGGGCGCGGGCGCGCGCCATGGCCCTGGCGGGCCCCTCGCGCGCGCGGCCGCGGGCCGCGCGCCCGGGCCCGGGCGGCGGGCGCCGGGCGCCGGGCGGCCCGCGGCGCGGGGCACGCGCAAGGAGGCCTCGAGCAGCGGCGCGTCGTCGTGGCTCGCCTACCGTCGGAACCCTAAACAAGGAACGAGGCCCCTCTGTTCCATAAGTGAACCTTCGATCTCCTGTCGAAGACATAAAGGAAAGCCCGAGGCAAGCTGTGAAACACTCAGGGAACGCGGAGCCCCTCCCCAACGACAAGGGCTCCTTCTTCAGGGCCCCGACTGTGTGGTCGGCGGCGCGCGCAAAGGGCGTGGGGGGAGGGGGGAGGGCTTCTTCGAAGGGGGCTGCTCCCTTCTCAGAAGGCGTCGGCCCTGCATCTATATAGAGAAGGGCGGAGGGGAGGAGGAGGAGGCGAGAAGGAGGGGGAGGAGGGGGGGAGGAGGAGGAGGAGGAGGAGGAGGAGGAGGAGGAGGAGGAGGAGGAGAGGAGGAGGAGGGAGGAGGAGGAGGAGGAGGAGAGGAGGAGGAGGGAAGGGCCGCGCCTTCCGAGAAAGAAGGGTGCGTCCAAGAAGCCCTCCCCCTCCCCCCCCCCCCCCCCCTCCCCCTGCGCGTGGCTGATGTGGTCGTTCCGAAGAAGGTTCAGAGAGCCTTTTTGGTGGTCTGCACGGCATGTTTCGGAACATGTCTGGCGGAGGCTGTGTTGTTCAACCCGCCGGCTTTGTCTTCCAAGGACACGGTTCTTGTGCTCAGGCCGCTCTCCTGTTCTGGGGACGTGTCGTGGCAGTGAGGCCGATAGCAATGCCGGGAGGGCCAGTCCCAGCTCTAACGCCGAGGAGGACGAGGAGTCAGAGCCCCGAATCATCAGGGGTAACTCGGGTCAGGGCTAACTCGGGTTCGTTTTTCGGGAATCCGAACCCGACTTACCCCGGACCCGAGTTACCCCGGATCATTCGGGCGTCCAGAGCCCCGAATCATCGTTCCAGGCGTGAGGTTCTCTTCCATTCTCGGCGGATTCCCAGTCTCGGGATGCTTTCCAGCGGCCGCGCTTCGGAAGGGCGCTCCGTCGGTGCCAGGATCGTCCCGACCCGGGCGCCTGCGGAGGCCCGAGGTGTGTAGGCTGCGAGGAGGAGGAGGAGGAGGAGGAGGAGGAGAGGAGGAGGAGGAGGAGGAGGAAGGAGGAGGAGGAGGAGGAGGATTTGTGAGGAGGAGGAGGAGGAGGAGGAGGAGGAGGAGGAGGAGGAGGAGGAGGAGGAGGAGGATGAGGAGGAGGAGGAGGAGGAGGAGGCGTTAGGTGTTCAATCAAGGTGTCCGATCATGCACCCCAGGTTGAGCGCAGCCGTCCAGCTTCCGTGCGAAAACCGCCAGAAACAGCCGAAGACCGCCGAAGGCCACCCAATGCCGACGGGCAAACGCGGGCCCACGGTCGAATGCCCAGCTGGCCGCAGCAGCACCGCCGGCGGCACCGCCAGCGACAAGCGGCGGCGGCAGCGGCGGCGGCGAGAGGCAGTGGCGCTAAGTCGGGCCTGTCCCTGCACAGGAGGAATCTTCAAAAATAGTCAGACAGTAGTCTGGGGACTATGTTCGACTGTTCTTGGCCATGGAGGAGTGTCTTCTGGGTATCCTTAACGTTCGCCCAGAACATCCGTCTCTAGGAGGATATGCCCGACCTGACTCAGGAAGGAACAGAAGCACACAGACACGATGAATCGTCGAGTCCCAGGAGAAAATATGGGAAACTATGGGAAGTGGGGGGGAAGACAAAAACCGAGAAAATATGGGACAATATGGAAAATATGGGAAAATATGGTAAATTTTTGGGAATATTTTCATCTGTGCGTCATTTGTGTGTCCTGGGGCCCCTTCGCTGACAGCGGCGGGCGGCGGCGACAGCGCCGGCAGCACGGCGCGCGCCCGCGAGGCCCGCGCGGGCGGTCCAGCTGGCGGCGCTCGCGGCCCTGCCGCTGGCGCTCGGCGGGCGGGAGGCAGGGCGGCACCTCCGCGCCCCCTCGCGGCCTGGGCTCCTCGGCCGGGGACCCCCCGGGGCCTGTGTGTCAGGAGGGGAAAAAGCACAGACACAATGAATCGTCGATTCCCCAGGAGATATGGGAAAATGTGGGAAGTGGGGGGGAAGACAAGAACCCAGAGAATAGGGGGAAATATGGGGGATATCTTTATTTGTGTGTATTTATTTGTGTGTCCTGGAGCCCCTTCAGTGTGCTGTCTCCCCTGCGCGGCCGCGGAGCGCAGCCTTGCGGGACGGGAAAATGGCCACAGCCACTGCCTTCTTGTTTGCGCCGCCCTCCAGGCGGCCGAAAAAGAAGCAGCGGTTGTGGTCATTTCCCTGGTGCCAAGCTCAACGACAATGACAAGAACCACTGCTTTGTTTCTGCGGGCTGGAAGGCGGCAACAAAAGAAAAGCAGTGGCTGTGGTCGTTTTCGCGCCCCGTAAGCCTTGCGCCCCGGATGCAGGGGGGAATCTTCAGAAGCAGTAGAAGAATAGCCTGGGGACGATTTTCAAAGGATGTCTCGCCATGCAGTTGCATGGTTTGTCTATCCTTCATTTGCCGCCCCAAACTCCGCCTGTGGGGGGACTGGCCTGGCCGCATGCTTGTCGTACTGTGGAGAGACCCATGCCGAGACACCCCCGGCTTGCCTCCAGGGCGCCCTGGGCTCTTGGCTCCCGATGGTTGTGCGACGGGGAACGCGACGCTGCCACAGCAAAAACCTGGCGTGGGAACGCGGCGCTCCCACACCAAAAATCCGCCGACGTCCTGGGGGTCTCAGGGGTCGGGGCCTCTTGGGGCAGGCCTCTCTTGTGGACTGGCCCCCGCGGTGTGGCCGCGGGGCCCGGCCACGGGCCCCAGGGGTCACACGCGAGGACGGGCGCGCGGAGGGAAGAGGAAGACATGCCTGGAGGTTGGGGCACGCAGCCAGTACAGTGCCGTCTTGAATACATGCTCCGCGTGCGGGTCTTTATATATTTGACCTGTGTATTAGAAACTGCCCTATACATCCGCGGCACCGCGTGCCCCCACGGGATGCCGCCGCGGGGGCCAGGCCGCGAGGGCACGGGCGCTGGCACGCCCGCCGCCCCGACGAGGCGCTGTGGGGGCCGCTGCACAGGGCCAGCGCGTTCGCCCCGGCGGCGCGGGGCAGACTCGCCGGGGGCCCGGGCGCGGCCGTGCGCTGCGCTGCCGGCTTCGGGACGGCGGCGGCCGCGTCCACGGCAGGCCCGTGGCCCCGACGTCGAGCCGTCGTCGTTCGCCACGAGTCGGCGCGATCGGAGTGGATGCGAGGAGACTGGGGGCAAAGACCGACAGCAGGCCCTGTCCATGTTGGACATGGCCCGCGGTCGGGGTCACAGCGGGAACTCCGCCAGCGCAACGTCGGCCGCTGTCGATCTTGGACAGCATGTAAGTTGCTGGCTGGCCACCGTGCCCATTCTTCCCGTGCCCACTCTGGGCGTGCCGCTGCAGGAAGCGGGCCCTGATGGAAACGGGTCCTGAGATTTTCCCCGGTTTGGGCTTCCCAGGGCGGGGCCTTGGGCTGCCAGACAACGGCTCAGCATTGAGAGCTTGGGGGAAGGCCCTGGGGTCCAGGACCCGCTTCCCTCAGGACCCGCTTCCTTCATGCCAAGTCATCGCCGTCGCCATCTGCGCTGTAGCCGCCGTCGCCGCCTTCGCCGCCGCAGCCGCCGCCGTCCTCGCCGTCGGCGTCGCTGTCGTCGGCGGCTGCCCCGCCGGCTTCGCTGTCGTCGCTGGCCGCGTCGCCGCTGGCGTCGTCGCCGTCGAGGTGTACAAGGTGAACGACAAGAACATCATAAACCATGACCTACAAATGTCATTTTTTCGTATGTGGATATTGCTAGGCAGAATGTGGGTTGTCAGCCGAAATACTCACCACGAGGTCTCGCGAGTGTGTCGCCAGCCTCGGAGATGTCGGGACCAAACAGGGGCAGAATGATGACGGGCCCAGACACGGTCTTCGTGGATGGAAAGGCTACCGGGCCCGTCCCTGCCGTACGTGACCATGGTGGACTACACCTAGGTAAGATTGCCCTCGCGGCGGCGTCCAGTGACTGAGCCACTGGCGCTGCCGCGGGTCCTCCGCAGAATGTCAACAAGCCAGATTGCGCAAGCCGCGCAGGCTCGCCGTCGAGCCATGGCGCGGGCCGCCTGGATACTCCGCGGGGCGTCGATCCCGTGGGGGGCGATGACGCGGAGTGGTACATAGGAGCCGGGGGCCCCCGCGGCCCCCGTTGCATGCAGCAGCCGACGGGCCCGCGGCTGAGGGCAACTGTGTTGCCGAGGCCTTTCACATCGACGCGCCCGCCGCTGCGGCGAGCGGTCGAAACGAGACGTCGGATCCTGGAGAAGAAGGATAATAATAATAAGAATAATATTAATAAGAAGAATAATAAAACGAATAAGAATAATAGTAATAAGAATAGTAATAATAATAAGAAGAATAATAAGAATAATAATAATATTAAGAAGAAGAATAAGTATACTAATAATAATGATAATAATAATAAGAAGAAGTCGCACCCTCTGACGGTACTGTGCCGCGAATGGTGGAACCTACTGATCTGAGAGGAACGGCATTCAAACAGCCTCGGCCATCCCTCGACCTATCAGTGACGTCTCCGAGGGCCGGTTTTCCAGGCGGAGGTCTTCTGGAACACGCGGTTTCCCAGAAGGACGCTACAATCCATGTCGCTTGCTATCTTGCGATTCACTTGTTCGGCATCTTCACCGCCGTCCTCGTCAAGTTCCCTCCGCTCTTGTCGTATTCCCACCCTCATTGTACTGCTGATGCCGCTGTTCCTCCTCCTCGTCCTCCTCGCGTTATTCCCTCTCTTGCTCGTCTTCCTGTTGTTCCCCGTATCCATCATGCTCGTCGTTGGAGGGTGCGGATAGGGTCGTACGAGGGGATTGGGAGAAGGGGGGGAACGAAATCTGCTGCATACAGCGGGGTTCGGCCCCGCCCCTTCCAGCGCGTTCCTCAATACATGACCGCTCCTGTTGCCGGGGGTCGCCGGGAAAGACAGTTGCACGAAGTTGAGTCGTTCACCCCGTCTGTCGCGATCCCCCCCTCTTCGTCCAAAGCGAGCGGGGAAGAAGCAGGAGGAGGAGGTGGTTGAGGCGGAGCAACAGGAGGCAGCATGAGGAGGACGAGAAGACCGAAGATGGGACGCAGGCGACGCCAAGGGGCGGGATGGGCTCATTTGGGGATGCATCGGCCCCAAGTCGCCCATGGATCGCCGATGGAGGCCCGAGAGCCCTCCGCGTCCAGGGGTGTCCAGACCTCGCTGTCGGGGGCAGATCCCCGATCTACTGACAGTGTCGCCGATCCCAGGTCGATGTGTCCCCCCCCCCCGAGCTTAGGGGAACAAGAAGTGACAAAAACATAAAAACTCAGAGGTCCGCGCGGATTTCTCGGATCGGCGCTGGGGCCCCCCAGCGGCGCCTCCGGCGCCGCTCTGGCGCGCTCCGTTCCATACCACTTATGAGCCTGAAGCTTGAATGCTGACAACAGTTTCCCAAATGGAGGGCGGGTGGCTTTCAAAATGTAGCTCTCGCCTTGTTGCCGCGCGCATTCGACGTAAACATTTGCAATCGTTTCACGCATTGAGGGCGGGTGGTTTCCAAAATGTGGCTCTCGCCTTAGTGCCGCGCGCATTCGTTTTAAACATTGGCAATCGTTTCACGGATTGAGGGCGGGTGGTTTCCAAAATGTGGTTCTCGCCTTAGCGCCGCGCGCATTCGTTTTAAACAGTTGCAGCAGTTTCACGGATTGACGGCGGTTCCTTTTCAAAATATGACTCTTGCTTTAGCGCCACGTACGTTCTTTTTCAGACATTGTAAGAGTTTCGCGGATTTTCATGGTTAACCTTCCAAACATGTCGTTTAGGAGCGATTCAGGATTGTCAGGGCGCAACATTTACGTTGATTTACAGTCTTGAATTTCCAGGAATGGTGTTCTGGCATGATGCAAGATCGTCAACAGTCAGGTTGATTCGTGACGTTGAAGTCCTGAGACGGGTGTTTTGGTACGCGTCAGAACGTTCGCGCGATTGTCCCCCAACGGCGTACTTTCTTCAGTGGAAACGAACCCTTGAAGGGGCCTAGGGAGGGTGTATTCTAGCATCGTTGATGAATCTTGGGTCTGCGCTGGCCCTCCTCCTCCTCCTCCTCCTCCTCCTCCTCCTCCTCCTCCCCCTCCTCCTCCTCCACGGCCACCTTGGACATCCAACGGCCACGTCCCCTCGCAGCTTCCGCAGCTGGTGCGCCCCCGCCCACCCAGAGGCGCCGTGCCCACGCGCCCGCCGCGGTCGGTTCACTCGGACCTGGACCCTCCCCCCCTCGCACGCTCGACTCCTCCTCGCTCGACCCCTCCCCGCTCCTGAAGGGGGGCTCCTCGCTCGACCCCTCCCTCCTCCTCGCTCGCTCGACGCCTCCTCGCTCGACCCCTCCCTCGCCCGACCCCTCCCCGCTCGACCCCGCCCCGCTCCCCCTCCGTCGACGAGGGCGCCCGCGGCCCCCTCCGGAGGGGGGGCAGAGGCCTCCTCCTCCTCCTCCCCCTCCTCCCTCCTCCTCCTCCTCGCTCCTCCTCCCTCGCTCCCTCCTCCTCCTCCTCCTCCTCCTCCTCCTCCTCCTCCTCCTCCTCCTCCTCCTCGCTCCTCCTCCTCCTCCTCCTCCTCCTCCTCCTCCTCCTCCTCCTCCTCCTGCCGGCCCGCGTGCCCGCGCAGGCTGCGGCTGCCGCTGCGTCGGCCGGGGGACCCTGGCGCGGGCGGCCGCCGTGAGGCGCCCCGCGCCCCCCCCCGCGAGACCGGCGCCGCGGGCGGCCGCCGGGGCCGCCCGGGGGCCCGGGGCCTGCCCGGGCCCCATCGCGCCGGGGGAGGGCCACGGCGGGAGGTGCTTCGCCATCTTTCGGGGGCGGAAAAGAGGGGGGTGATGACTAGGGGGGGGGGGATATCATGGCGGGGGCCACGATTTTTCCCCAGATTTCATGGCGCCCCGTCTTATTCATTACTGTATGTCCCTGGCCCCCCCCCGCTGGGCCGCGCACATGCCGCCGGTCCTGATTTGCACCCCCCCCTCTTGGACACCCCCCTCTTGGCCGCTCCCGAATCTTCGGGCCCTGGGGGCCCTTGCGGGGCCTCGGGGCTGTCAGGAAGCGGCTCGGGACGAGAAGCGGTTCCCGAGGGAGGGGTCCCCAGACCTCTGGGGTTGCGAAAGAGTCACGCCGTCGGGGGCTTGCGTCCTTGGCACTCCCGGATCGGCGGGGCGCGAGGGGGGGAACTGAGAAGGAGAAGGCCTTCTCAGAAGGCGGCGGGAGGTCTCAGAAGCCCTCGCGCCTTCTGAGAAGTGTTCTGCGCCTTCGGGTAAGGCTCGGACATCTTCTCAGAAGGTCTTCGGGATTTCCGAGCCTTCTTCGGGCGAAGAGAACTATGCACATGCACCGTTCTTGGCCAGACCCATCCTTGGTTCAGGACCGGTGCACATGCGTATGCCTGCCTGGCCAAGGCAGGAGGGCGTATTGCACCGCTCCTGGCCAGACCCAACCTGACTATGCACATGCACCCATCCTGGCCAGACCCATCCTTGGCCCAGGACCTGTGCACATGCCTGCCTGGCCAGGGCAGGAGTGCGTCATGCACCGATCCTGGGCCCAGGAGGGACCTGGCCAACATCGACGTGTGTGCACAGTTCCCTTTCCTCCACTTCTGAGAAGGCTCCTCCCAGGGCTCGCCGCCGACCGCCCAGCTCCTCTCCTCCTCCTCCTCCTCCTCCTCCTCCTCCTCCTCCTCCTCCTCCCTCCTCCCCTCCTCCTCCTCCTCCTCCTCCTCCTCCTCCTCCTCTCCTCCCTCCTCCTCCTCCTCCTCCCTCCTCCTCCTCCTCCTCCTCCTCCCCCCCCCCCCCGGGGGCCCGCCGCCGACCGGAGGCACGGGCCTCCGCCGCGCGGAGGGGCGCGCAGCGGTCGGGAGCGGCCTGGAGCGGCCCGCCCCCCCTCCGGCCTGCTGGGGGGCACACGGGCCGCTCCTCCTCCTCCTCTCCTCCTCCTCCTCCTCCTCCTCCTCCTCCTCTCCTCCTCCTCCTCCACCCTCCTCCTCCTCCTCCTCCTCCTCCTCCTCCTCCTCCTCTCTCCTCCTCCTCCCCTCCTCTTCCTCCTCCTCCTCCTCCTCCTCCTCCTCCTCCTCCTCCTCCCTGGGGCGTGCCGCCGACTCCCCGCCGACTCCTCAGTATCGTCGACGAGACTTATGTCGGGCGTGTCCCCCTTCAGGGGGATCTTCGACGAAACATAAAAAACTGCCCCACAAATAATCCAAAAATTGTCAAAAATAGGCAGGGGACTATTTTTTGAGTATTTGTTGACCTTTGGGGCATTTTGGGGGTATTTATATTTTTCATGGAAAATCCACATCTACTGGGACATGCGCGACATAGGACTAGACGCAAGAGTGACCTTTCGCCGGAGCGACCTCTGGTGCGAGCACGGATGGGCCCTCAGACGGCTGCAAAGACGCAGCGGCAGCAGCGGCCTGCGCGCCCGGGTTTGGTCCCCGCGCGGCCCCCGGAAGGCCGCGCACCAGAGGACGGTCACTCTTGCCCAGGTTCACTCTTGCGTGTAGCCGATATCGTCTTTCGGCTTCGGCGCCGCCTGTCTCCGAGGCTATGCCTCCTCTCGGCCTCGCTCTGAGGCTCCGCCGCTTCCTCCCTCCTCTCCTCTGCCGAATTCGAGCTTCGCGCGGCCCGCTCAGCTGCGCTCTCGACCCGCGGATCAAAAAAAAGTGTACTCCAGATTTCGTAATAAAGGGAGGGGGTCTCATTTCGGGGGGGGTCTCTTCCAGGCTATCTCGGAGGGCCTGGGGAGTCTGGGGACGATGTTTTGGGGGGTTCTCCCACGGGGGAGGTCTGAAATGGCCTGTCTTGGAGGGTCCAGACCCCCTCCCTTTTACTACGAAATCTGGAGCAGCCGATATCGTTTAACCGACCCCCATCCCCGCTGGAGCGCGCTGGGAGCACTCTTTGGGAACGCCGCGGAGGCGCCCCGGCAGCGCTCTGGGCGCGTGGCCTGGTGGCTCACTGGCGGCACCCCGTGGGCGCCCCCTGTCCCTGGGAGCGCTCGGAGGGGCACCCCGAGAGGGCGTCCTCGCGCGCGCCGTGCGGGAGCGCACGGGGGGCGCACCGGGATCGCGCGGGGTGCGCTCCGTGGAGCGGGGGCGCTCCCGGGCAAGTTTCCGGGGGATTCGCCGGATGTGCCCCTCGAAGGCCGAAGGGAGCAGCCCGCATCCCCGTCCAGGGGGGCAAGATCGGTCGGAGGGGCCCAGCCCACGCTGGTGGGGATGGGGAACGGTTGAACGGTGCTCATTTGGGGTGGTTTTCGAAACGGACGGATGAAACCGACGTGGCGGCATTTCAAACCATAGCGACATAACAGCAGGCATGCAGTCAAGACGCTGAAGCATGGAACAGTTCGGGTTCGGGGGGGGGCTTGCATTTGGTCGGGCATGTCTCCCTTCAGGCGGATTTTGGACGAAAAATAAAGAGTAACCCCCGAATGACCCGAAATGGTAAACATACTAGAAAATTCGTCCCCGAATATTTTTTCAATTGTTTTGAATATTCCTCCTGTAGAGGGACGTGCCCGACTTACGGCTTGCTGTTGCTCAGGTCGTTCCCTGGTCGCTCCTCTGGCCCTCCTCGTGCCTCCATGCTGTCGTGGGGCCACGTCGGGGCTTCGCTCCCTTTATCTGGTGCTCCTTTTAGCAGCAGCGTGTCTGTACGAGAGCGACAGCAAGTACGCACGGAAACTGCACCAGATGGCATGCAATACACAAAGCGAACGCTGAGCAAGACGACGTGAGAAGGATGGCCAATTGGTTGATGTGCATGCCAGAGAACAGCGCGTTCAAATTGACGCATTCAGCCCATACAGTGACATTGAAACGCCAAACATGTACCAAAACCTGGAGGGACATGCGCGCACCCCTTGCAGCACATGTAAAATCAGCACGCGTGGAGACAAGCTGGCCTTTGGCACGTAGGAGAACGAGAACGGAACGGTGTAGACGGAGTGGGAAAACAATCCATGTGCGCTTGCGCCCTCTCTGACATCCTACCCCTCCCGCCCATCCCACTGCCTTGCTTGTTTCTCGATCTGCCCGCCGGCTCCCTGGTGCAGCAGCCGCCGCGGGCCCGCCGGCGGGGCTGGCCGCGCCACGCGCTCGGGGCGTGACCCGTCCCCGTGAGCGGCTCGCTCCCTCCGCCCCCTCTTTCGGCCGCGTCCTTTCCCCTCCCCGTCCTGCATGTTGGCACAATTCGCCATGACGGCGTCCCCATGTCGGCCTTTCCGCTAGCGCAGACGACCCCTGCCTCGTCGCAAAACAAGTTTCTCGATCTGCCGACGGTTATCATAGGGGACTTGGAACTCCCAAGGGGTCCCTATCGTGTCATGCATGGGGGTGAATCAGGTCATTATCAGGCTCTTTTGGGGCGTCCTGGGGGCCAGAACATGCATTGGCAGCATGATATCGCACGTTTCGCACGCCGAAGCGCTGTATCCCCCCCTGCCATCCAGGGGACCGCTCCTGGCACAAGCGCGAAGACTGTTTTGGTTTGCCTTGCACGGGGGAAGCTCAGGCTCGCGGCGCAGCAGTCCATGAACGATGCGGAGATCCTCAAGAATTTGCGGGACGTGCACGGCTGGGAACGCGCGGACATGGGCGCGCGCCATTGTTTCCACCTTCTTCTGTTACTCCTTCTTCAGTGTCTTCCCTACTCCCTTTGGGAAGGCCGTGAGACAGCCGAGAAGCGCACGAAGGCAGGACGACGATTACCCCAGAACTATTTCAGCAGCCCCTCGAGACTGAAGAAGAGACAGAGTGCCATCTCGATCTTGTGGCCCCAGAGGCCTCTTGAATATTTGTGAGGGTCTCGTGGGGTGCCTCTCGGAGGCCGCTTGAAGGGCTACCGTCGAAACCGATAGCAAGGGTGGGCAGCCTTCCTAAGGGTACCTTTGCATCCTTGCTGCCTCGGTCCATCCGCAACCCCTTCCAATGACCAGCCCTTCTCGCATAGCTTTGACATGGGCGTCCAAGGGGCCGGGGGCTTGCATCCTTAGCACGCATCCTTATTATCAGTTTTGATTGTACTGTAGGCTTACTTCTTGGTGGCTTTTTGGGGCCTGTTGGGGCCTCTTGGGGGCCTCTTGGGGCTTCCTGCGGGCTTCCTGCGGGCTTCTTGGGGGTCTCTTGGGGGCATCTTTGCAGCCTTTCAAAGCCTCTGGGGGGCATCTTGGGGGTGTGCTGTCGGTCGCGGGCATAATCGTGGGGCAGATGTCTCGGCATGCCAATTCGTGTGCCACCATCTTGAGTATCTTGGGACTCCGTTGGGCCGTTTTGGGGCCCTTTTTTAGGTTCACTTGGCCGTCTTGGGGCGATGTTGGGTGCATCGGGGACCGTCGTGTTGGAAGACCGAAAGAACGAAGCATTCCGATCCTTTACTGTCTGGTGTGAATCCATGATCCCGCGGCTTGGGGCCCTGGTGCGGCCCTCTTGGGCCCCTCTTGGGGGGGGAGGGGCGAGAGGGAAGAGCGGGCGACAAAGGGACGACGACGAGGGAGGGTGATGGGGGAGGAGCGAGGAGAAGAAGGTGGAGGAGGGCAGGCGAGCCCAGTGTTGCCCCAGCCGCGGGGAGCGGCACCCAGTCACCCCCAGGCCCCTCGCCCCCAGGCCTCCCAGGGGCCACCCCCTCCCCTGGCGGGGGGGGGGGATCCAAGGGAGGGGCTTGCCTTCAGCCCTGCTTGCAGCTTGAGGCGGCTTCCCTCGAGCTGGCGGCTCTGCAGCGCTCCACTCGGGCTGGTGACCGGGGGCGGTTCCCCTGCGGAGCCTGGGCTTCGCTGGGAACGCTCTTGCACGCTGGATTCTGCAAGGGTCTTGCTCGGCATTTCACTGGCGACGAAGTGGTCGGCGGACCTCGTTGTTCCGGCTTTGGCTGGCCCCGTGTGGCAGTCACACGCTGCTCCGATGTTTGGCGTATGCATCCCAGCGCCCTGCTGGGTGCGGCGCATGTGTGTATGTATATGCACATTGACATGCATACATGTATTTATATACGCACATTTATTTTCGTATGTATATGTATTTGCACATGCATGTGTATTTGTACATGTAAATGTACTTGGACAGGCGCATGTACATGTATATGTATATACACATGTATGCATATGTATCTGTATCGGTCGAGGTTATTCGATGGATGGAAGGGATTGTTTCGGTGGTTGTCCCGTCGTTGGTTCGCCCCCCGATCACATCGGCCTTTGGTTAGTCTTGCAAGTATGGGCCCACTAACCGTGGACTTACCCAGGGGCGCGTTCTGGCCATAATTTCGCAACATTTCGAGCCGTGGCGACAATGGCGCCCCAGGACACCCGCACATGTCAAAATGCCCAGCTGCCTGGTGGATGACCGATCCAGCAGCCTTGGCCCATGCTGCGGCCGTTTCGAGCCGTGTCGACCCCAGCGGCGACCCCAGCGCGGGCGTTCAGAGTTGCACGTCGCGGTTGGCCAGGAACCGGCCGACATCGAACGATCCGCGCAGCCAGCAGGTTGCGATCATTCAAGGCTGAACGATCCATGCGGTGTCAGAGACTAGCGCGCGCAGGTCGTCGAGGCGGGAGCTTGGCGCAGTACTCTCCCCCCTTTGGCCTCTCCTCCCCTGTCGCCCCCCTGCCATCCCCTCGCCTCCCCCTCTCCTCCTCGCCTCCCCCCTCGCCTCCGCCCTCGCCTCCCCCTGCCATCCCCCTCGCCTCCCCCTGCTAACCCCCTCGCCGCCCCCCTCTCCTCTCCCCTCTCCTCCTCCCTCGCCTCCCCGAGCTGAGTGGACAGAGAGGTACCGATGCCGCAACTCCCAGGACCTGACCCCAGGGGTACGTTCCGACCATCACTCTCGAGGACCACGTGGCCGTGGCGACGAGAGGTCCCCCCTCGCCTCGCCCCTCGTCTCGTCGTCCCGTCCGCCCCCCCCCGTCGACCCCGCCTTCTTCAGGAGGGGAAAAAACACACAGACACAATTCGTCGTCGACCCCCAGGAACATAGGGGAAACTATGGGAAGTGGGGGGGAAGGCCGAAGCCCAGAAAGTGCGGGAAAATCTGGGGACTCCTTCGATTTGTGTGTGTCTTTCTTTGTGTGTCCCAGGGCCCCTTCACTTCTCCGCCCCCGCGTCGCCCCGCCCCCCCCCGCCCCAGGCGCGGGCGGGAACTGCCTCTTCCTGTCGGTGGCCGCGCAGGTGGACGCCGCGGACGTCGCGCCGCTGCCCTCGCGGGGGCCCGCCTGGGCGCGCCGCCCGCGGCCTCCCGGGGAGGCGGGGAGGGAGGAGCGGAAGAGCGAGGGGGAGGAGGAGGAGGAGGAGGGGGAGGAGAAGGAGGAGGAGGAGGAGGAGGCTGCCGCCTCTAGTCGTTGTAGTCAGTCAGGATGATGAACTCAGACTCATCGGTACGAGCGCAGGAGGAGGAGGAGGAGGAGGAGGAGGAGGAGGAGGAGGAGGAGGAGGAGGAGGAGGAGGAGGACCAGTGTAAACCCAAGAGTCATCCGCGCTGTTGGAATCGACCCACCCTCAGGGCTCCCTCTTCATTCATTTTCATTGAGGGAGCTGCCTCCTTGAAGAAAGACCGTTTGAAAACCCTGAAGCATGCCAAAACAGTGTTCTCGGGATTTCAGCGCCACGGATCAACCTGACTGCTGCGTCGTGACGATCTGGAATGGTGCCAGGACGCCATTTTTGGGACTTCTACGCCGCGGAGCAACATAGTTGTTGCACGTGCATAATTCTGATTCCTTCCAAAATACCCTCTCTCGTAAGCTGATCGTTGGAACACGGGAAACTCTTGCACATTTTGAAAACGAATGTACGCGGCGCTGAGGCGAGAGCCACATTTTGAAAAGGAACCGCCCTCCATCCGTGAAGCTTTTGTGTAATTTTTTTATAACGAATGTACGCGGCGCTAAGGCGAGAGCCACATTTTGAAAATCACCCGCCCTGAATCTGTGAAGCTCTTGCAAATTTTCAAAACGAATGTGCGCGGCGCTAGAGCGAGAGCCACATTTTGAAAATCACCCGCCCTTAACCTGTGAAACTCTTGCAAATCCGTAAGAGCTTCGCCCCATGCCGCCGGCCCCCTGTCTCCGATAATGTGAGATGCAAGAGCTAAGTTATGAGGTCTGGGCGCAGCCGTGAAGCAGTGTCGGGACCTGTTTGTTTTTCGACTCTGATCCTCCGGATCTGCGTGAGGGGTGCCGCCGAATTTCAGAAATGTGGCAACTCCCCTGTGTTTTTGGACCCTGACCGTACGGATCTGCGTGAGCGGTGCCACCGAGTTTCAGAAATGTGGCAAATCTCAAGTGTTTTTGGACCCTGACCCCGCCGATCTGCGTGAGGGGTGTTAGTTCCCAGAAAGGGCTCAGTCCCAGGGTTCTCTTTTAGTTGGTTTATTCCCCCCCCGGAAGGGGGCCCGCGGAATTATTTTCGATAGAACACGAGAAAGTTTAATTCGGCGTGACAAAAATTCGTTTCGCGCGTGCCCGCTCGAAGAAAGTCGACCCCCCATCTCGGATCCTCGATAAACAACGGGGTCCGCGGACCACTGTTTTCTTTCGTAAAAAAAGGGTGCGGGGCACTTTTAGCAGAACCATCAAAAAACAGAGGTCTGGAGCCCCGACCGCGACGCGGAAAAGCGCACCGCGCGCAGGAATTCCGAGGATGTCTCGCGCGTGCCGCGTCCCGCGCGCAGGAATTTCGAGGATGTCTCTACTAATTCGCTTGTTTTTTCAGGATTCCCTTGGATTTTGCCAGGATGTCTTGAGCGAAACGCTTGTTTTTCATAATTTGTTGAGGATGTCTCGAGCGAAACGCTGGTTTTGCAAAATTGGGGGATGTCTCCAGCGGGGGCCTCGTGAGGGGCCAGAATTCAGAGGATGTCTCAGGCGAAATGCTTGTTTTCACGTCCTCCTCCTCCTCCTCCTCCTCCTCCTCCTCCTCCTCCTCCTCGTCCTCCTCCTCCTCGGGCTGGACGGAAGGAGCGGATACAGTGGAGACCCATTGCCAAGAAACACCCTGCTTGCCTCCAGGGTGCCCTGGGTTTCCTGGGTTTCCCGGGTTTCGGGGGTTTTGCGACGGAAGGCGTGACGTTCCCACACCCAGAAGTCGATGGGCGTCCTGGGGTCTCAGGGTTGGGTTTCTCGTGGAAGGTTTCTTGTGGACTGGCCTCCGCTGTGCGCACGGCGAGCGCTCGCGGTGCCCGAGGCCCAGGCGCTCGGCGAGGACCTCGGCCAGCGCTGGGAGGCGATGGGCGTGCGGGAGCGGGCGTCTCTGCTGAGGCGCCCGTTGCCGCGCGCGCCAAGCCTCGTTCGCCCTCCACACTCGCCCCTCGTCCCTCCTCGTCGTCCTCCTCGTCGTCCTCCTCGTCGTCCTCCTCGTCCTCCTCCTCGTCGTCCTCCTCCTCCTCCTCCTCCTCCTCCTCCTCCTCCTCCTCCTCCTCCTCCTCCTCCTCCTCCTCCTCCTCCTCCTCCTCCTCCCCCCTAGATATCCAACCGATCGAAGAGCACAAGACTTATACTTTGATGCTTCTCCCAATCTTTGGCCTCCGGGGGCCTTCGCCAGGCCCCTGGCTCGCCGAACAGCGGCTCGCGAGGAACAAAGCCGGCCCTGGGGAGAGGGTCGGTCGGGACTTCCGAGGACCCCGAGCGGCAAACTCAGGCCATGGGCTCTCTGGGCCCTCTGTTCGGGCTCCTCGTGGCCCAGGCCATGGCCTCAGCGCCGTGCCCCAGTGGGCACGGGCGGGCTTCTCGTTGGAGTACGCGCGGCTCTGTCGTTCCTTCTCCTCTTCCTCGTCCCTTCCCTTCTCCTCTTCCCTTCCCTTCTCCTCTTCCCTCGTCCTCCCTTCTCCCTTCTCCTCTTCCCTCGTCCTCCCTTCTCCCTTCTCCTCTTCCTCCCTTCTCCTCTTCTCCTCTCCCCTTCTCCTCTTCCCTCGTCCTCCCTTCTCCCCCGCGCCGCACCTGGCTCTGAGCTGATCTGCTGTGCTGCTGGTCGCCTCTGCCGATCCCTCATGTTCACTTCTCACAGCATCCTCTCTGCCAATCTCTCCTCGCTTCTCGCTCCTCCTCGCTCCTCCTCGTCCTCCTCGTCCTCCTGCTCGTCCTCATCCCCCTTCGCCTGGAGGTGGGGAGGAGAATGAGGCAGTGGTGTGGGAGGAGGTCTGAGGATCCAGGTTTTTCGAGCGTGTCTCGCCATCTGCTTTTTACTCGTGGAGGCCTCGCGTGGCCGCGGTTGGATCCCCTTCAAGTTCGTGGCCCCGACAGGCAAACATCGCCCCATTCCTTCTGTAAAACGTGCGTGACAAGCATCTTCGCTTTTGTTGGTCTTCGCGCCGTCCTTGACGACCTCCGTGACCCCCAAGATCGCCCCAATACGGCCCAAGAGGCCCCCAAGAGTGCTCCAAGGCGGCCCAAGAGGGTCCCAAGACGGTCCAAGACGTGCCCAAGACGGCCCAAACGGGCCCCCAAAGAGCCCCAAGAGCCCCAGAGGAGAGGAGCCCGAGATGGGGAGCTCCGACTTAACTCTTCGAGCCCCACGCCCCGACAGGACCCCCGAGGCCCCCGAGAAGCCCCCCAGGACGACGGGAGAGGCTCCGAGCCCCAACGGGCCTCCAAGAGGCTCTGGGAGGCCCCGAGGCCAGGACGACGGGAGAGGCTCCGAGCCCCAACGGGCCTCCAAGAGGCTCCGGGAGGCCGCGAGGAAGCCCCGAGGAGGCCCGGGAGAGCCCCAGGGAGCACCGAAGCGGGCCTCGGAGAGATGTCCCAAGAAACCGCAGCATACATCTACGAGAGGCCTCTGGTCCACAGCCTAGGCCCGTTCCTGGGGCGCCACCTGAGCGGCGCATGCAATGTTTGTGTGTGTGTGCGCATGTGTACGTATGTACGGGAGCATCTCTGTGCGCATGTCAGAGGAAAGAGAAACCGCCAGCTCTGCAGAGACCCCATACCCAGTCTGCCCCGCGGCGCGCAGTATTTGAATGGAGAGAGCCGCGCCCTGCGCTACACGCCGCTGCACGGGGGTGGGCCCTTCGCCAGGCCACGCGCATAGGCACGCTGAGCTCCGTGTGGGGCGCGATCCGGGTGAAGAGGGTGGCCGCAGCGCTAGCGCGCCCACTGAGGCCGCAGGTGGGGCTCCATGTGGAGCGCGATCCGCGTGTAGCGGCGTCGAAACGAGCGTGGGGGCGCCGTGCGAAATTGCCCACGAATGCCATAGATGGAGATCCTTGTGGGGTACGATCCGCGTCAGTGGTGTGCCGAACTACGCGGAGGGACGCCATGCGAACCCTCCTGCTGGAGCCGTCGGTGGAGCTCCCTACGGGGTGCGATCCGTGTGAGGGATGTGCCTTCTTTTTTTGGGCCGTAGGTGGAGCTCCATTTGGGCCGCGGTGCCTGTCAGGGTTTTGTCGCTAGGGGTGGAGCGGATGCGAGCCTTGCCTCTGGGGCTGCCGATCGACTTCCCTGTGGGACACGACCCGTTTGAGGTGTGAGTCGACATATGTCGCCGCGCCGTCTGTTCCGACGCGCGGCCTCCGCGGCAAACTCCGCCTCGGGTGCGGCGGGTCTGCCGTGGGGCTTGCCTCGGTGCTGGCTCCGTCTGCCGGGGCGCGGGGCGGTCTGTCGTGCCTCTGCCGCGGCGTCGGCGTCGCCCACTTGGGCGCGTTCGGAGCCATCGGCGCGGCGACATGATTCGGGGCCTCCTCCTCCTCCTCCTCCTCCTCCTCCTCCTCCTCCTCCTCCTCCTCCTCCTGGGACGCTCTGCGAATCCCCCCAGTGGTGCCGTGCGTGGAACTCTCGGTGGGGCACGTGCCCCGTGCGGAGGGCGCGGCGGAGCGGACGGAGGGCGCCAAGGCAAATTTTGATGCTGGCACCGTAAGTGTAAGTCGGGCGTGTCCCTCTAAGCTTAAGTCGAAAAAATAGCCAGGGGACCGATTTTTCGACCATTTTTGATTTTTGAGCATTTTCGAAATAGTTCTTATTTTTCGTCCAAAATCCGCGTGTATGGGGACACATGCCCGACCTGACCGTAAGTGGAGCTCCCAGAGGGGCATGATCCATGTGAGGGGCGTCGCGCAATTGGCCGGGTGACGCAATGTGAGGCCTGCGTCTGTCTGGGGCCGGAGGTGGCGCTCCCTGGGGGACGCGGTCCGTGTGAAGAGTGCCGAAACGGGCTGGTGGACGCTGTGCGGTCCCGTCCGCCTCCTTCGCCTGCCTCCGTGCATCCTGCCTTCGACCGCTCTCCGTCCTCCCTCTTCCCACTCTTGCGAAAGCCGCCTCCTCCTCCTCCTCCTCCTCCTTCTCCTCCGCGGAGGTCTGGAGGTCGTTCCCTTGTCCTCTCCGCCTTCTTTTGCGAAAGAGAGCCGACGGCACTTGCGACCCTCGGCCTGGGTTCCCCGTCCCTGGGATCTCCGAGTTCCCAGGGGTCCTCGGGTTCGATTCGACAGGCTACTTGCATTACATTGCATTATCCGTAAGGGCTTCGCCCCCCGCCGCTGGCCCCCTCTCTCGGATAATGGGCAATGCAAGAGCGAAAGCATGAGGCCTTGGCGCCGCCGTGAAGCAGCGTCGGGACTTCACGCGAAGACGATGAGTAATCGGCAAGACAAATGGAGATTCTGATGATATTGTTGACTTCGGTGTTGTATTTCGAGGGTTTTTGGCTTCGGATACGCGAATAACGCGTAATTTACGAGGGTTTATGGCTTCGGGCTCGCAAATATAGTGTACATTACGCAGGTTTCTGGTTTTGGAGACGTGAATAGTTTGTAATTTACGAGGGTGTATGGCTTCGGACACGCGATTATTTGGTAATTTACAAGGGTTCATGGCTTCGGGGTCGCAGATATTATGTCATTTACGCAGGTTTACGGCTTCGAAGACGAAGGTTTATGGCTTCGGGGACGCGACTCTTGCGTGATTTATCAGCGTTTGTGGTCTCGGGGGCGCAAGTGTAGCATGATTTACAAGGGCTCATGGCTTCGGGGGCACGAACATGGTGTATTTTGCGAGGGTTTAGAGCGTCGGGGACTCGAATATTGAGTACTTCACGAGGGTCTATGGCCTCGGCGACGCGAGTATGGCGTTATTTACTAGGGTTTATGGCCTCGGGGGCGCGAGTTTAATGTATTTTTACGTGTCCCCCCAGGAATTCAGAGCACTCGATTCGGGCGTGGTAACGGGGTTTCTTCTCGGCTCCCCCTCCTCGCGCGGTCCATCAACAAGGAACAGTAAGCAGCAAGAAGCAGAGCTGTAACAGTGGAAACTGGAAACTGGAACTGGTGCAGGGAGCAGCAAACCTTCGTCCGACAGCCTGGTGGCCCCACAAGGGGGCCGGCGGATGTTGCACTGCGTTCATTTGCGTCGAACGTGCGCTTGCATTGCTGCGTGCTTCACGTTACCATTGTTCACACTGTTCTACGTTGCCTTGAACAGTACTTCTGCGCATGAGCCTGCACTTGCTTGGACCACTTCTGCTTGCAGTGCTTCTCTCGCCAAGATGGGGTCGGAGCTCCCCCCCCAAGGGCGCACATACACCCTAGGCGATGCCTAAGAAAACGTAAGGTTTCGGCCAGAGTCTTCATTATTCTTATTGCTTCCATGGAAAACCTAACTTTTGAGTAGAGATTTGGGGTTTTTATTCAAATTCTGAGACTATGAATTTCTTAACCCATGATTTCTTAAGCATTTCGCAGGGTGTAGTGCTAAAGAGGCCGCAGAACCGCCCCAAGACACCTCTGGGACAGCCCGAGGAGGCACCGAGTCGACCACGAATCGCCGGAAACTCCCTACCAGGCGCCCGGAGTCGCCTCCGGAGGGGCCGCCACGCTGCCAGGGCGCCCCGCGAAGGCTTCCAGACGGCCCAAAGCGCCCCCCAGAAACTCCAAGAGGGTTCCCAGACGGCCTCCACGAGGGTCCCAAGGAGGCAAAACTCGCTGGTTTCCCACAGGTTTCTCAATGTTTTGGAGCTCCCGCCATTCCAATTCAGAAGATAGAAAACGACTCACGAAGAATCAAAGAAAACTCAAGACCGATCCGAGCCCTGGGACTGAAAAAGAGGGCCCACGTCGTCGTGATCGCCGTTGTCGTTGTTGCGGCTGTCGACGTGGCTGACGTCGCCGTCGTCGTTGTCGTCGTCGTCGTCGTCGTCGTCGTCGTCGTCGTCGTCGTCGTGGCCGTCGTCGCCGTCGTCGTCGTCGTCGTCGCGGGCCGCGGGATTCCGCAGCTCTCGCCAGGAGGAAGGGTTTCCTGCGGGAAAGGGTTCCCCAGATTTTTGACGTTTTCGGCTT